AATTAATTTACAAACAATTTTAAAAATTTTAAGAGATTTTTTAAATAATTTATGTTAAAAATTTATAAAACTAAATTTGTTTTACTAAGCTTAGTTGATTTTATTTAACATGTAATTAGTTTTAAAATTAAATTAAAAATATTTTCACACAAATATATAAACTATTACTACAAAAATAACCTTAAAAGAATAAAGATAAATTTTTTTTTCTACAAATGGAAACATATATATATTAAATAAATTATATTTACAAAATAGATAAAAATTTTACAAAAATAATATCAATTATGTTTGCGCAACTTAAAATTTTTATCTACTAAAATTAATAACTTTAAATATCAAAGTATTTATAAAATTAATACAAAATTAAACTCATTTTTAAAGACTTAAAGGAAGAAAAAAGAAAGAAAAGGAAGAAAAAAAAAAAGTAGAGTTTATTCTATTCTCCTTAGATAAGATGTCTATGGCCAAATTTGTTTTGCCTACCGTCTCTCACTTCTGCTGCTTACAAACTTATCCAAACTGTCAAGCACACACTTCCATGTGTTGTCTTTGGGTGTTACCTTACCCAGACGAACCTACCTTACCCAGACGAACCTAAGACAAAAACATCTGAGAAATCACAATTGTTTCATTTTCTCCATAATTTAATCATATTTTCATGCGTGTTTACCTTGCCTAGACGGATGATGGACCTACAAGTAATTGAATTTTACGTGTAAAGATGGAATTCTAATAATTAGTTCTGAAATTTTTGATAGATCATCATGCCATGGTCATGTAAAATGATCAAAGACTTCTGTGCGTTTTTAACATTGAATTTTCTAGAATTTTCTTGAGTTTAAAAGAACAGTAAGGTCAGGAGTTTCAGGACTTGGGAAAACTAGTTAGATTGGCTGTCATGGATTTAAATAGCTCTAGAATTGTAAAGCAAAGGTCTATTGTGCAATCAGATTGTGGTATATATATACTCAGTGAACTGAAGCCTTGTAGGTTGATTATAGAAAAAGAAGAAACAACCTAATTCAAGATGTTAAAGTTATAAAATTAAGATGTTAAAGATCCAATACTTCAACGAGATGATAAACCTCTAAAGTGGTTTTGGATTAAATCAAATAAAGAAAACAGATTTAAAGCAGAAGTAAAAACTTCCTGAGCAAGAGCATGGAACAGTAAGAAATAACAGCAGAGAACTTGGGAAGCATATACTTCCTGTATCAAGTTTACAACAGGCTATCTGTCCTCGCAGGCAAATGGCAGAAGAAGTTGATTGGTACAGGTGACGACGACCTATGGCAGAGTCTTGGATGCCTCATTGCATAGAACCCTGCCAAAGCTACTATAACCTTAAATAGTGTCACAAACAACACCATGGCAGCACTAAGGCAAAACAAAACAGAGATAGCAGTGGCACGTGGGATGAGATATTGTGACTCAACAACATTAACACGTATATACCATCACTGTGGTGAATGATAGACCAACGTAGAGATATGGATGTAGCTGGTGTACTATCAACAATAGTAGCTGCATCAGAATGCCATGCATCAGAAAAAGTCTCATTTGTCTGGGTTCCAATCCAGACTGCAATCATCAATTCCCCCTTTACTCTCTCTCCCTTTTTATCCTCTGTGCTGCCAGAGGACTATCAGGTGGCAGCTGGTGTTGAAGACTTAATGCATGCATCATCTGTGATATATACTTTTAAGCCTTTAACTTTAATTCAAAGTCAAGATTTTTAAGTTAGTGAATATCAACTCAACCCAACCAAGTTCTTGTTGGTATAAGAAAGTACGATAGATACAAAGAAACTTAACTTTTTTAGTATAAATATCTAAAATAAAACTAGAAGGAACATGTCATGCCCCAACCCAAATTCAAGGCATGACAAGTGCCATACATCTATAAGAACTAAAATGTAAATGTGTAGGGTTAACTATCCTAAAATCATCTTTCAATAACCAAATATAAAATCATCTATAAGAAACTATGTCTTTTTTTTTTTTTTTTTTTCATTAGAGAGTTAGTTACTTGATATTACAGATATTTAAACCTCTAATTTTAATTCAAAGTCAAGGTTTTTAAGTTAATGAATATCAACTCAACCAAACCCTTATTGATATAAGAAACTATGTTAAATATAAAGAAACTTACCTTTTTCAGTATAAATATCTAAAATAAAACTGCAAGGAACATGTCATGCCCCAACCCAAATTCAAGGCATGACAAATGCCATACATCTATAAGGACTACTATGTAAATGTGTAAGGTCAACTATCCTAAAATCATCTTTCAATAACCAAATATATTAAGAACAATTCTAAAGTGACCCCATCTTTATTGAAATTCACAAAATTAAAAAAACTAGTAAAACCCAAAAACTCCAAAACCACAATTAACTTCCCTCACTTCTCATAAAATCCAACTTAAAAACTCATAACTAATAAGTCGTCATCACTAAATGTTCCATAATCCAGAGTAGCTCAAATTAATCCAAAGAACAAAACTAAGAAATTGTGTCTCCTATTCCCAAATGCAGCCCCAAAAGCTCA